TGTGCGTCTAGCGAGTAGTGGTTGGACATAAGTCTTGACATCACTCGAATGAATCCCCGACTTACATCCAGACCTTTGAACCACGCTCTCGAAGAAACATTTGGAATAATGGAATGTAACCACCGCCCAAGAGAATTATTTGTCCAATCGTTTTGCCAACTTAAAAGAGAACTCTGACGTACTAATGGGAAAAATTCATCATGTGAAATTCTTCTATCATAAATCTCGCCTTGTTGTGCGCCCACCTTTGCGAGAGAGTCTGCCTTCTCATTGCCTGGGATTGAGCAATGTGAGGGGACCCATACAAAGGTAATCATATATGATCTTTCGACCAGCAAACTCATCTGCTCCCTTACCTTTGAAAGGAAATAAGATGAGTGCCTACCTTGTTTCATCGACCGAATAGCCTCAATCGAACTGAGACTATCCGAGAAGATGAAGTAATGGTCTGCGGGCATGTTGGAAATCATCCCCAATGCGAAGTTGATTGCTGCTAGCTCAGCAACATAAACGGAACAAGGTTCCTGAAGTTTCCGAAAGGCGGTTGAGTATTCATTGAAGACGCCGAAGCCAGTGGATCCATCAATGCGTGATCCATCAGTGAAAAATCTTCTATTGCAATTGACTTGTTGGTACTTTTCAGCAAAAATGCGGGGAATTGAGATAGGTCGAAGTTGATCTGGAACTCCTTGAATAGCCTGTTTCATGGAGAGATCATAGTCAATGGGGGAACTGTAGTTAGTAAAGCATACACGAGAGGGGTTATAGCAAGGAAGGCGCTTGACGCCCAACAGCTAAGTGTAAAATATTAGACTTATACATTTTTCGTAACTTGACAATGCTTTCCTTGTTATTTTCGTTAGTAACTGTAGTATATGTAGTCTGTATAATCTGTACTTTTTTTTACAACACATCATTGGGACTATTTCTAGTCTGTTGATGCAAACATAACAAATAAACAAATAAACAAATTAACCATATAATGTGTTAAATGGCCAGAAGAGATAGACAATTGAAAAAGTAAATATTTCCACTACGAGACCCCTGGTTTCATGCACAAATATATCTCAAAATCAATGTTAACAGCTTTTTTTATGCTTTATATTTTGCCGAATTCATCTTATCAAGAAGACTGTTAACTCTTCCAATTTCTCATACGAAAGTTATGAGACAGGTACAATTGCGTCATCTGCCGCTCAAAGGTAAATGCTTCGAACGATTTTAATACCAAAGCGAGGGGGCGACTCTATCTAAGATGCAGGATTTTTTTGCTTTGCTGTTGTGAGATGCAATCGCGCTTAATAGATAGAAACACGATTGATTGTGATTTTGAAGATTTCCTGCAAAAAGGTGGAGAACGAAGCGAGTAGATGGGTTTAGATGCAAGCGATGAAAATAGATTTTTTGTAGATTAATTCGCTAGTGTGAGATTTTTCAACAATTTAAAACCGAGATTTAGATGTGCCGCACCCTTCGTACTAAAGATAACATCCTCAGAAGAAAGGTTTGTGTATTGGCTCATTTTTCTTGCATTCTTCCACCTTCACTCAAGCGCAGCGGTACTGTATCTGTCGCTTTCATTCTGGCAAAGTAGCTAGTCTTCTTTCTTTTTTTTCCTCTGTTCGGGACCTAACACCACTGCGACCAGTAATTTGATCTATTGTAGTATATCCCGTGTCCTTAGTTTAGTGCATGTCGTATTACCAACAATCAATTCGAAACTAACGATTTTAAATTGGCTCACTACTTGACTAGCCTATTGGTCCCAAGCAAATCGATTAACGAACCCCATTCTAGTCAAAATTCTAGTACTACACAATGTTTGTTTTGATTCGCTATGAAAGTTTGACAGATAAAATAAGGGGTTAGTGGATTTTCCTATGTTTCGAGGGGTGAATCGATTAGCTTGGGACCGAAGATAGTACAAGAGCTGAGCCAAAAAGTTGAGCACGTTTCTTCGGGACCTTCTAGTCTTAGAGTTACCTCTATGGTATTACCATAGAGGTAACTCTAAGACTAGAAGGTCCCGAAATAACGTGCTCAACTTTTTGGCTCAGCTCTGGTACTCTCTTCGGTCCCAATATAATCGATTCACCCCTCGAAACATAGGAAAAATCAATAACCCCTCATTTTATCTGCCAAACTTTCATAGCGAATCAAAACAAACATTGCGTAATACTAGAATTTTGACTAGAATGGGATACATTAATCGTTTGTTTGGGACCAATAGGCTAGTCAAGTAGTGAGCTAATTTAAAATCGTTAGTTTCGTATTGATTGTTGGTATTACTCCATCACTATCAGCGAATCCAAACACATAAAGCAGCCAACGATACAGACAAAACGCTTGCTACGACTACCACGACAAACTCTCACTGCAACACAGCTCGATCGCAGTGGTAGAAGGATAATGATATATTGCTTGCCTGCTTTGTTGCAATATACACGGATGAGGACAAGGCTTGATCTGAATCGAGAAAAGATATAACAAAAAAAATCCCATTAACACCTATACACGTGTGTTATCATTTTCGACTTTGCTTCGTGAAGAAGCTTGCCAACAATTTGCTCGTTTCTTTCTACCGCCCTGAGTGAGCTGTGTCGCACGGGCTGCTTGTCATGAAAAAGAATGAAGAAGATTATATCATTATTCCTTTCCACTTCTGACATAGCGATATCATTTGGTTCGTTGATCACTTGTCATTTTGTCATTTGGAGATATTTTTGATTCCTTGATCACTATTGAGAAATGATGAAGTGTTCGATTTTTACAGTTTACAGTTGTCATTCTCGCATTTATCGCAAGGATCCGACTCTAATTGAAAGGTCAAGCTCTTTATACCCTTCGGAGTGTTGAAACACCCTCCAAAGGCGCGCCCCTTTGTCAGTCAAAATTGGATTCCTTAGCAACAAAATTAAGGAATGACACCGATAATGACCATGCATCAGAACCCTTATCTTAACCACTTCAAACCTAGGGAACAACGAATAGAAGATTAGGAATCACATAGATGAAGACTAACTCATTTTTTCCTTGTTTCAAGATCATCCTCGGTGGACAAAGCCGAGTCTTGTCACTATCAACAAGGCATAAAAACTAACAAGGACTAAGATGTGTTCCTTGGATTACTGAAAAATCATGTTACCCTAGTTTTAAGTAGTCAGGACTAGGAATCGGTGGTAGATTTTACATCCCGTAACGTACCACGAAAAGATGATCTACCCACGTTACGGGGCTGCCAGTCTTCTTGAGTTCTTGATATGATGTCTTCGATTTTACGCACAATCTTATGATAATGAACTTCAAACTAAATAGTGGACAAATAAGTTCAATATATTTATGAAAAGTAATTTTACTAATGATGTGAACTTTGACTATATGTTTTTTTTTAGTATTACTTCTACGTGAAGTCAACGATTTACGTAGTTGAAGATGCTAATTTCAAATAACAGACTGTAGTGGTAATTTTTATACGATAGATGGAGTAGATGAAAGCATAGAGTTGATAGTTCCGTTAGAGTACGGCAGTGTGAAGATTGTATATAGATATTAGAAAAGCGAGCTAAGGACAACTTTTAAGGAAGGTACAAATCGGTTTTTTCATCTCTCTTTACCAAACTCCCCCTTTGGAGAGGGATGGTGAGGGGTGTCCCCCCCCCCCGCCACCACTGGCAAAAAGAGATGAAAACCGACCCGCTCAAGTACCAACTGTGTGTTTGAAACAGTTCTACCGATTTTTTACCGCACTTCAGTTGTTATTTGTGTCCCCTCGAGATCCTCAAGTCGACGATGACAGGAGCACATATCGTGGTAGGGGTAAACAATAGTTGCAATTTCCAAAACCTACGACTGGATGCCTTCCTTCAAATAACAACTGAAGTGCGGTAAAAAATCGGTAGAACTGTTTCAAACACACAGTTGGTACTTGAGCGGGTCGGTTTTCATCTCTTTTTGCCAGTGGTGGCGGGGGGGGGGGCACCCCTCACCATCCCTCTCCAAAGGGGGAGTTTGGTAAAGAGAGATGAAAAAACCGATTTGTACCTTCCTTAAAAGTTGTCCTTAGCTCGCTTTTCTAATATCTATATACAATCTTCACACTGCCGTACTCTAACGGAACTATCAACTCTATGCTTTCATCTACTCCATCTATCGTATAAAAATTACCACTACAGTCTGTTATTTGAAATTAGCATCTTCAACGATGTGAACTTGATTTTACACTAAACTGAGCTGTGAACGGGTACCACACGGTATTTGATCACTGATATTTCTGAAATATATTTCTTCAAGTGCAATCATTTTATTGTTTCAGAGCGTAAGAAGAATGCATCCTCTTTTTACATCATGTCTGTAACCACGCTGGGAATCGCTAAGGGGCTGTTCATTAACTACGTAGACTTTTTTTTTTTAATTCTTGACCCCCCCTGCGTAGACAATTGGCCATACCATTTTTTTTAAATTTGTATGGGCTGTGGACAATTGCCAACCCCCCCTAAACTCTGTCTACGTAGTTTATGAACAGCCTCTAATAAAAGTGTGCTTTTACGCTTTTACGTTACATCGTCTTGGTGTCTTCTGTGCACTTACTCCTTACGATCCAAGCAATAAGTGCCGCCGAAGACACCAACATGATTTAACTTAAAAGTGCACATTTTTTAGCGTTTCCGCACATTTCGTCGCACTTAAGGGCCACCCACATTTAGGCCCACGCACATTAGATCCAGATCTGACGCGTTGCGGCAAAGTGAAAGCTGAATATATTGTCTAACTGTCAAATTTACTTCAACGCAACGCAAAAGCATCTAATGTGGGTGACCCTTTATAATATATAAGGGTTGTTGAACAGTAACAACATGAAAATGCCGTGATCCATTCTGCAATCTGTAGACCAGCCTACATATGTAGATGCTCAAAAGTACACCAGGAACTTACTAAACCGGCATGAAGAAGTGGAATTATATATAAAACTTATTTGTATCCTTCACACTACCAAAACTTACCAACGTTGTGACCAGGTCCTTCACGAACCGAACCGACTTTTGCGGCAGATTTAGGAACTGCACATTTCTTTCGCCAGCTTTGTTGATAACGCGTGACGATCGGATGGCACGTGTTCCGTGATGTTCGGGAAACCGCCGGAGCCTCTGGCGCAAATGTTTCATCCTTCGAACACTCTGTAGAATGATGGGAAAATTCGATTGCTCCTGCTGCTGGAGCTGATGATGGTGGATGCGATCTTCCGGGTCTGGGAAGAAAGGAAATGAAAAACAGGTCACACTGCAGTCACAAAGATCACCAATCAATTTGTACCAGATTCCCTGAGTCTGATGCGATAATAGCCACACGGAACGGCACTTGACGAACGACTGCGTCTTGCCTTATTTGATTATCGTGTGGCTTATATCTTATCGCATACCATCCCTTCTTCTCATCGTTCCTTATTTATCGAGCTAGATCACTAGATGTTCAAATAATAAACCGCACAATGGGTCGTTTGTTTGCTTTAAGTCCGATAAACATCCCTAACGTTTGTATGATTCTACTTTCATCGTTTGTAGGTAGGTATCTTAATAAGGGGGCTTTAGTTATTGTCTTAATGTTCTCTGGTTTTTATTTTCATGTGCGAGTGCGTTATCACATCTATGCTATCAGATCTTGTTCGGAGATGATTTTGCAGGAATAAACTGACCATGACGGGAACGGAGAGAACCAAAACGATAATATGTGATAAATGTCCAATTAGTGTGGCATGACGTCTGTACCGAAAAAGTGACCGTTTATCCAGCTTGGATGCGTGGGAGTGTGAATGTAGCAGGAAACGTCTGTCAGATATCTGACGTCACATACCTTCATAAAGGCGGCTCTCGTTGACGCTTTGATTAGAACCATGATGTTGCCGCACTCGTTTTTGACTTCTTCCATGGCGATTATCATCGTCATCGTCGTCACTGAGTCCGCCTCGGTTCAAATTCAATCCAGACTCTTGGCTGCTCTTCCATTCGTCATCGTCATGCTGGCGTTGTTGATGTTTTCGTTGATGTTCTACCCTGTCGAGAGGGGAATATATTATGTGCTATCAGAACTACAAACAGTATTGACCAACAGCTTATGCTGTCTACCAACAATCAACGACATAGCCGCAGGCAATCAATTAATATACACCGACCGACGAGCGCACTGAGTGATAAACCGTTGAAGTAGAGCGTACGCGCGCTTCATTACTTCATCTATCAATCACATGTGCGGACGGTGCGAACCGTGATTTCCGCGCATAGCATGACTAAGAACTTAAGGCAACTACGCTAAGTGCATCGTTATCAGCGATTAGGTATTACTCACCACAGTCTACTTTTCTCTAATGCTGGAATGGGCTTGCGGATGTGATAGGGACTGCCGGGTGCATTGAATACGTCGAACGACTCCTGCCGATTGTAGTTTACGATGCTTAACGGTCGAGCCAGGCGACCCTGCAGCTCACCAGGGAACTGTTCCAGTCGACGCCAGTGCTTTCCATGGGAGTATGGGCTGCCGGAATTGGTATCGAGAGTGCTGAAACAGACCGAAGTGGACGGTGTTTAGTGTCGTTACTCGGTTGTATGTACAATTAAAGATAATTTTCGGTATTTACAACCATAAACGGGATCGTTAAAACTTAAACGCACTTGTCTGTCGCATTTTTTTTATCAGGCATAGACGTATGTCACCTTAATCTATGGTATACTTCTGTAGTGGTGGAAAATGGGGTCTCCCGAAGTTTCCGAATCGAATACTTTTTACATGCTAATCGTTCATTCCCATTCAAAAATATGAACAATCGGTTTTGCTCCGCGTGTGTACTGCCAAAATTGGATCAAGAATAAGGGAATGGTTATCTGCGAGATGGTCATATTTGCAAACAACTGATAAGAATTTGTTGGTACTTGTACCGCATGGTAATTAAGTATCTGTGGTTTGCACTTGAATTTTTAGGTACCGTGAAACGGGGTCCAATTGATCACTGATGTTTATCATATGTTTAGCTTCAAGTGTAATATTTGTATTGTTTCAGAGCGTAAGAAGTATGAATCCTATTTTTACATCATTCAACATAAAAAAATATGTGGTATATCTTAACAAAAATAATGGAGTCAATTAAACTTCGCTACTCAATTTGACCCCGTTTTACGGTATCCTAATATTGATTCTGTAGACAAAGAAAAGGTGTTTTCCCGTACTTGCTTTTTGCCTTTGCTGTAAGAAAATAATACAGGAATCCCAGATTTGCGCGGTGGGTGGTGCCATCTACACACCGCCATTTCTCAACAGTCTTTCAACTTATTAGTACAAGACTACTGTGTTACCTGACAGCATTTGCAATGTAAAATTAGACGAACTATACGTTGTATTTGGGGTACTTGTATACAACGTATATTCGTTATAAATCAGGTAACATAGTAATATTAATAAACTATTAGTACAAGACACACACTGAAGAAGTCTGAACATTGTAGACGAAATACGCGTTTCTCTCAAGGATAAGCAAATAAGGTAGTGGAATTAAATGGAAATTACTAATCCTTCTCTCTCTCTTTAAAATTGAAAATTTCAAATTGCTAAACACAAGTGCAACTCTATCGCGAGCCCAGTATACATAAACTTACAAAAGCTGGAACGGTACAATAATGGGCGGAACACATAGCGAGAATGCTGGACAACAATCCTTTAAAAACGGTATTTGCGTCGAATCTCCCCAGGTAAAAGACGGAGAGAGGCCTAGCGAGCTATGTGGTGTCACCAAATGCATCAAGCTCTAGTTAGGGTAGGACGATCGAGAAACGAAACGAAGGACGTTGAACCAGGAAAGGAATCGATATGATTCCAAAAATAATCCTTTCTGCTGCACTGTTTGGCACTATTTCTTCATAATTTAACAAAAATATTGACTCAAATTATCGATACACAATTAGGCATCACGTTTGTTTATCTATGCATTAATCTGTAGTTTAGTTATTATCTATCCAGTGCTCAAGCTTCCACTGTTCCATGTATCACAGACAATCCCTCACATTTACGTCGTTGATGAGTAACGGAAAATTTACACAGTATGTTTTGCCGTTATTCCATAATCACTTAAAGCAGTATTAAGTGTTTGCTCGCTTCACGCGTTTCACTCCAGTATTATTCAATCTCTATGCTAAGCATACAACTCGAATCACTACTTACTCTAAACTCATGACTAACGATGCTTTTTAAACTTTTCCAAACGCAAAAGCACCGGGCTAAACATCACTAGCGATCCACTTGTTTCGAATATCTGTAACTTACTGATTTGTAAATTCGATTTTTCGACAATTGTTCATATGGGTGTTTTGGTTTTTTGTATGTTGCTTGGTCGGCTTATCGGAGTACCTACTCTTCAGTTTTTTTTTTTTGGTCGATAGCCGCTATCTTCCGCATGCGATAAGATTAGAAACACACTGCTAAGGATTCGCACATGTGAGAGGTATTGCTATCGACGACGACAGGTTGACGCGGCATTCCACGGCCATTGGTCAGTTTGCCTATATTTGCATTTGTTATATGGAAATCGTAGTATTTTTGCTTTCATTTGAGTTTATTCATAAAGTCTCCAATCACTGCATTTTTTTGAAAACAATCGATTTTTGCCATATGGCATATCAACTTCAGAGCAATCGCACGGGTGAGAATTAAATATAGAGACATTGTGACAGCGAATCAAAAAATGGGTTCACAGATAACACATGACGAAATTGTTTTTGATTCAGTTGCATATCAGTTCCAACCCGTGAAAATTCGAGCTAATTCGCAGTTCGAACCTTGATCCTGTTTAACTGACATTTGAAAATTGAAATTTCAATTCAAGCTTCAACTGATGTGTACAAAGTCACGTTTTAACCAGTTCCCATTTAAGAAGACTGATCAACAGCCGTTTTGGAACCATTTGAACCCTACGAAGCCAGGGGCGGAAACGGTCGACGTTTTTTACTACATCACAGTGGGACAAAAAAAAAAGAAGGACATGATCATTTGCGACGAAACTATTGATTGTAGCATTGTGATGTCTTCTAGAATGTTTTTTCTTTCAATTCTAAATACTTTATTGCAGTGGTGTCCAGTTGGTATCCACTAAGATATTTTTTTATGTCTTGTTGAAATTGATGATTATCTATGGAAACATTGAAGATGAAGTCATTTTACGGAACTTTGTCCAAGTCGTCTATTTTCCATCTCTCAAGTGGACGAAGTTAAAGAGTGAAAATGGAGTACACACGGTAGTACCATAGAGGTAACTCTAAGACTAGTAGGTCCCGAAGAAACGTGCTCAACTTTTGGTACTCTCTTCGGTCCCAAGCTAATCGATGCACCCCTCGAAACATGGGAAAATCCACGCACCCCTCATTTTATCTGTCAAACTTTCATAGCAAATGAAAACAAACATAGTATAGTACTGGAATTCATACTAGAATGTGGTACGTTAATCGATTTGCTTGGGACCAATAGGCTAGTCAAGTAGTGAGCCAATTTAAAATCGTTAGTTTCGTATTGATTGTTGCTATTACTACGGAGGTCATATGGCTCTATGGATGTCGTTTTGTGTGAAATTGGTCATATCAAATTTTATCACGTGGAACCGAGGGGGCGACACATCTAAATCTCAATTCTAGATGCTCAACATATCTCACTCTAGCGAACCAATCTTCGAAAAAAAAAAATTCTTTCATTTTCTCGCATCTACTCGCGCATCATCTTTTTGCAAGAAATCTTCAGAATCGTCATCAATCTTCTTTCTTCTCAGCGTGCGCGCAGCTTACTACAGCAAAATACAATTTTTCCAACATCGTATACATGGAGTCGCCGCCCTCGCGTGGAACCATGATCCGGAATATCCAGAACCGGTTCTACTGTGTCCTTATGGCTCTGATTGTCGTTTTGAGAGCCATTCACACTTAATCTAGCTTGGTAAAATCTCCAACAGCCGATTACGATAAAGCAAATAATAACATCACTGTTTGACACAAAACTAACAAACTGACAGCTCGCTCCCATACAAAATGACACCGAGGAGCGCTAATAAGGTGATTTTTGCAAATGTAATCGTACTTATTTAAAATAGTTCCAGTGTACCAAAATTGATGAAATTTTGGGTTCCATTTTTAATTCAGATTACGAATATGCATTTACCTCAATACCCTTAAAGAACCCAATTGTTTTACTGAGTCTCAGCAAAATAATTTGCAGAACTGCTCGGCTGTTGGAATTTCGGCGAAAAAATTTAAGTGTGTTTGTCGTATTTCGTCGAGTAGACGGCGACCATAAGGCTCTATGAATGTCGACATGCAAAACGTCGTTTAACATATTTCGTCAAGTAGATATGATTTGATATGGTTATGAGAGATATCAAATTTGACCATGTTGAACCATGATCCGGAATATCTGGAACCGGTTCTTCGGTAACCATATGGTTTCATGGTTATTGTTTTGATTGTCATTGGTAATATTTTTCCGAGCAGATATGATTTAATATGTCACTTGATATTGTTATTAAAGATATCAGATTTGACCATGTGAAATCATAATTCGGAATATCCAGAACAGATTATTTAGTGGCCATATGGCTTATGGTTGTCATTTTGAGTACCAGTAATTCGTCGAAACTGGAGCACTAGGACCATAACTGGCGCACTTATCCTATTAGTTTTGCTTTGTTTTTTGCATTCAAAGTGTTTTTATGTTACTTCATACGCGAAGTTAGCGATTTTCAGAGTTGGTTGGAAATGCTAACACGAAGCTTTAGTGTGATAATTTATTAGCTAGAGAATGATCTTTAGAAGAGGGTAAGTGGATAGTTCCGTTAGAGTACGGCAGTATGAAAATTAAATAGAAGTTGAAAATGAGCGAAGGGCCATAAATGCGATAGTATAAAGTCAAACGCACATCTTTTGCCTAACCCGTACGATATACGCGGAGACTTGAAGTATGTCTTCAAGTCTACAGGCAAAAGATGTGCGTCCTCCTGACTGCGGCTGTGGAATAGTTCTAGCGACGTTTCATCACTAGCTAAAGCCCCACGTTGCGAGAGCATTTCCAGTCGATGGTGTGTTATAATGCAATTCTTCTTTACCCAACTATTCTTTGGTACAAACAACGTAAACATTTACCTTTTTTGACACAACCCAGGTAATCATGACGTTTGATTATTGAAAACAATATGAATGAAGAAAAGAGACCAACTGCTGTCATGATTACCTGAGATTTGTCAAATATTGTAAATATTTACATCGATTGTATCGAAGAATTGTGTTGCTCCTCTCGCCATGACCAACTTGGTCATCTCTGAGAGAAAGCTGTAGGATGGTTGTTCCGTGCTGTACCATCAACGCATACTTCAAGTCTCCGCGTACATCGTACGGGTTAGGCAAAAGATGTGCGTTTGACTTCATATATGTTAGGCGTCAACAAAGGTAACTATACTGTCGCATTAATGGCCCTTCGCTCATTTTCAACTTCTATTCAATTTTCATACTGCCGTACTCTAACGGAACTATCCACCTACGCTCTTCTAAAGATCATTCTCTAGCTAATAAATTATCACACTAAAGCTTCATGTTAGCATTTCCAACCAACTCTTTATTTTTTGGTTTTCAAGGAAAGTACGCTTTACGATATTATTTTAAAAAGTGGGCGCAAGCCGCAAATCACGTGCTCGTACCGTCGTACCGTCTCAACTTCGCGCTACGCGTGTACGCCAACCCAGTCGGCATAATTTTCGCGTCTACACAGCAACGCCACATGGGCATGAGTCTGACGCACACACTGCAAGAAATTTGGAGTCACAGCGCCATCTTCGCTTTATTGTAGTTTTTGCAGTAACTAACAATTTTGACAGCTCGTATTCTCTTCACGGAGGCATCTAAATTTCTGACAAAATTTGTTTCGGGTTAAAAAGATTCCGCATTTTATCAAAATAAATTTACCGGTTAGCATCGGGAAGTTCAATTCTGGTTCTTATCAGTGCTACACAGTACATCGTGGCCGGTGTTTGCCAGGAACCGCCAGAACGCAGTTTTTCTCGGTGTGTTTGGTAAGACAGTGCTTGGCAGCGGAAGCATAGCGGGGTGATTTGTTTTCGTTTTCTCTGATCGGAGGCTGCTACGGGAAGTGTGCGTGCGTGTGTTTCGGACTCATTTGCCGCGTTACTTATCTCATTTTGACTGCCTAAAGTGGAAAAGTACCGATTTCGGGATGTAAATGACCTGCCGAAAGTGGATCAACCGTGGTAGTGGAAGCTAAAAGTGCCAAGTACGTTTTGTTTACATTTCCAGTGCCAAGAGTGTTGTGCAAGTTTCCCGCTTTGATTGGCCTTGAAAAAATAGTGTTCCCTTGGAAGAATAAGCCGTGTGGGTTGCCTATCGATGGTCAGCTAGCTGAGAATATTCCGCGGAAGACAGATACAATGAGTGCAATTTGAGAACCTGTATCGGAACGGATCGCCATTGACATAAAGAGAAGAACAATGTCAAAAACAACAACACTGTCAGTGACTGCAACAGCAGCTGGTGGAGTAGGCGGAGGAGGAGGAGGGGTTGGCATAGCAGCAGTAGCGGGAGAATTTGATGTACCCGCATTCGAACAGAAGCTGAAGGAGCTTAAGGATACCCAGGATAGCATACAGCAGCTTTCGGCGTGGTGTCTACAAAGAAGGGCTCACCATAAAAAGATCGTGATTAGCTGGCTAAATGTGCTGAAGCAAGGTAAGATTATTTTCGCCGGAAATGCTGGGGAAAAGGTAGAGTTTGTTATGAGCGAATCTTCTTTTAGGGTTGTGGACATCTGAAGAGGTGAACATATGAAAGCAACACAGTCTCCCTTATTCTGCGCCGTGAGGTAACTCGCTATCACTAGTGAGGTGACAAAAGTCACCGCGAGTGAGGTGACTCTCCGTGCAAATCAAATGGAGAGTCACCTCACTCGCGGTGACTATTGTCACCTCACTAGTGACAGCGGGTCACCTCACCTCACTCGCGGCTTCAGTATTTCTGATAGCTACTCCACTAGCCCAGTTATCTACAACGAAATATATTAAATATAAGATTAAGAAAAAGATTCAGTGTTATAGGTTTGCGATGGAACATAATTTGCTTGCCTTTGAATTCTTAATGATAGACAAACTGATCAACGTGAAAGAACTTTTAAAACAACATTAGAGCATTGACTTCACTAATCTTTCGGGTTTTCAATTCAGTTTACCCGTCCTCATTTCTACTTTTTTTAGTAAACACTAGCTAAGATACAACACTTTTTGAAGCTTATTTGAAAATTTTTCGTTAGCAGCACTTCCACGCAGCCTAATACCACCTTCAGGTAGGGTAAACATTACACTAACAATGACAATACCTTGACTATTTAAGCAAGGTTAATTCGATGTCCCGACTGAATTTTTAAACCTTCTGCGCTTTGGGAAGCCCCATTATATGGGAGATGGTCATGGTTGAAATGAAAAACTATTTATGGTTCTCCAAATCATCCTGGTATATCTTGATCTTTAAAGTATTTATACAATTTATTAGTTTCGTGGGACCTCATCACATCATGTGGAACATAATTTGTATTAGCAAAATATCTTAGGTTCTTTAAAGTTCCTGTAGTTTAGATTTCGAAATTGTGTAGACTTGATCAGGTATTGTTCGTTGTACCGGTGAATTTTCGTAGAGCTCATGTTCTGATTTAGTATACGAGTTCGTAAAGCTTCATGGGATCTTATAAAAAATCATGTGGGGCATAAGTTGTATTAGCAGACTTTCTATAGTGCCTGGAGTTCAGATATTGAAGTTCTACAGACTCAATGTTTAGATTAAAATTTTGAAGCGCCGTGTGGTGAGATAATTTTGAACTGAACTGTCTCCATTCAAAAAATCTTGTTTATCTGAACAACATTGCCGAGTGAGCATGCATAAGGGCCTGACTGTGATATTCAATACTCTTCATCGATTCTCTCTTAAAATTGCTGCAACTAAGGGAAGCAATTTTCAAGAATTGGTCCAATACAGTGCTGTAACAGGTTGTATCGGTTATCAAAATCAATAGCATACGCACCGAGAAATGTTAATCCAAGCGAGTAATTAACAAAAGTGAAAGACGACGAGAATCGATCATTGCAATTAGGCCCTTATGAACGCTCACCTGTCCATTTGATGTTCAAGTTCCATATGGTACTGTTTAAGAAAACACAGTAACCATTGCTTTATCCGATGGATGAACCAAGGGGGGAGGGGACAGTGAAAAATGTAGAGCCATCTAGAGGTACTCTGAGAAACTCTCTTGCTCTCTGAGCGAACCTTTCTCTCATTGCTAGTGCATTTTTGCAAAACGTCTTATATATTTCTTGACAAAAAATCGAGTTTAAGGTTCGTTTAACACTTTTTGAAATGTTCAGCTAGATATTTAACCTCGTTTGTTTTGAAAGTGATGAACAGCAGTAGAAGACTTCTATTTCACTATTCTAGACAGAGCTGGAATTAGGGCGTAACAGCCTTTGTAAACAATGACTTCTCTCGATGATTTCTAGGAACTCTTGGCACGCCCAGGCAAACCAACATAACCATCGGGTAGGGGACGTCTTGCCCTACCCGATGGTGCTGATGGTGGGTTCATCGATTAGCTTGGGACCGAAAATAGTACCAGAGCTGAGCCAAAAAGTTGAGCCTAGTCTTAGAGTTACCTCTATGTTTTAACCATAAAGGTAACTCTAAGACCAGAAGGTCTCGAAGAAATGAGCTTAACTTTTTGGCTCAGCTCTGGTACTATCTTCGGTCCTAGGCTAATCGATTCACCCCTCGAAACATAGGAAAATCCACGAACCCCTCATTTTATCTGTCAAACTTTCATAGCGAATCAAAACAAACATAGTGTAGTACTAGAATTTCGACTATAATGGAGTACGTTAATCGATTTGCTTGGGACCAATAGGCTAGTCAAGTAGTGAGCCAATTTAAAATCGTTAGTTTCGTATTGATTGTTGGTATAGCTCTGCATCTTCAAAACATCATTAACTTTCAAGAGCTGACTGCAATTAATGCTCTTAAACTATTCGGCGAAGATATAAAGAGCATTGAAAAGCAGATGATATATGCTTCCACATCAAATTCCTGGCTGGTCCGAAACTCAGATGGATCCCTGAAAATGTCAGATTTTTAACGGCAGTTTCGATGAATATTTCACATTTGAAAAGGACCTACAAGTCAAATGTAAACAAACCAGAAAATGGGTTGTAAATAATCTCTGCCGTTTTCTCGGCCTAAAATGATTAATAATTCCTATCTCGCGTAATATTGAAAAGTGACTACAACCAAAACATAAACAAACCAGAAAATGGATTGTAAATAATGTGTATATTTTTATTCCTACATAATATCTGTATCTCAGCACACAACACCCACATAATACATGGTTTGCCGTTTTAAAGAGTGATACGGTCAAAATTTTGTCAATATCAACTTGACGTATTTCTTTCAATTTTGCATTTAAAAAACCTGAACACCCCTCATTTTGAAGGTGTGTGTGTGTAGAATGTTGCTCCTATTTTGATTTTGGAATTCACTCTTCAGTTGTCAAAATGCCGTCCAAGCAAGAAGAGCAGCGTATCAAAATTTTGCTCGCGCATCGCGAAAATCCGAGCTACTCGCACGCAAAGTTGGCAAAATCGCTAAAAGTTGCCAAATCAACCGTTACAAATGTAATTAAAGTGTTTGGGGAACGTTTGTCGACATCCAGGAAGTCTGGATCGGGGGGAAATCGAAAACCGGAAGCCGCTGAGACGACAAAGAGAGTTGCCGGTAGTTTCAAGCGAAACCCTAACCTCTCTCTCCGAGATGCCGCAAATAAGCTGGGTGTATCGTCTACAACCGTGCATCGAGCCAAAAAACGAGCCGGACTATCGACTTACAAGAAGGTAGTGACTCCAAATCGCGATGATAAACAAAATACGACGGCCAAAGCGCGATCCCGGAGGCTGTACACGACGATGCTGACGAAGTTTGACTGCGTGGTAATGGACGACGAAACCTACGTCAAAGCCGACTACAAGCAGCTTCCGGGACAGGAGTTTTATACGGCAAAAGGAAGGGGAAAGGTAGCAGATGTTTTCAAGCACATGAAACTGTCAAAGTTCGCAAAGAAATATCTGGTTTGGCAAGCCATCTGTACCTGTGGCTTGAAAAGCAGCATTTTCATAGCTTCCGGGACTGTCAACCAAGAAATTTACGTGAAAGAGTGTTTGAATAAACGTCTGCTGCCTTTCCTGAAGAAACACGGTTGTTCCGTACTGTTTTGGCCGGATTTGGCATCTTGCCATTACGGTAAAAAGGCCATGGAGTGGTACGCCGCCAACAACGTGCAGGTGGTTCCCAAGGACAAGAACCCTCCCAACACGCCAGAGCTCCGCCCAATTGAGAAATACTGGGCTATTGTCAAGCGGAACCTAAAGAAGACCAAAAAAACTGCTAAGGGCGAGCAGCAGTTCAAGGCAAACTGGCTTTCTGCGGCGAAAAAGGTGGACAAGGTGGCTGTACAAAATCTGATTGCAGGGGTCAAGCGTAAGGCCCGGCAATTCGGATTTGGAAAAGCGGAAGCCTAACTGAATATTTTTCCTGAATTTTATACTAATTGAACTTGAAAAAGAAATTTAATTTGACTTTTTAAATAAACGATTTCACCGATTTACACGCGAAACAGTTGAGTTACTTGTGCTGTCACGAATTTCTTTTGATTTTCTGCGTGTTATCCGGTGTGAATTTTTTTTTCGGTTGTGTGATTTTTTTGAAAATGAAGATTTTTCGCGGTGGTGTTTATAAATTGATAAAGTTTATGACTGGTGCTTGTGTGGTGTTTTGCCTGCGGTGTTTTTGGACAACATTGATCACTGATAGGAGCTGTACCACCTACCATATTGTGCAACTTGTTCGATGCTAATGCTAATGCTAACATCGATCACTGATAGGAGCTTTTGAGAGAATCTGGCAGGCCAGAAATGTGGAGGATCTGAGCTGTGAAAAAAGTGCTACTACAGGGCATACTAAAGGAAAGTTCAAGTTTGTGAAGGTATTACAGACAGTACTCCACGAAGCACTTAATGCTTCACCACGTCTCCAAAAGTTTTCCGTAAATCATTCAAAAAACATGAAGATTTGTGCCGAAGAGTTTGTTATGAGAGGTCGAGAAAATATGTGTGGTGTTGTTGATGTGTGTTATGTGTCAGTTGGCTTTTGTTCAAGTGAGAGTGTTTTCGAAGAAAATAGAAACCATGGTTTATCAGCTACATAGCAATGCTATGCTGTATTTTGTAACAGTATCTTGCATCCGACAAAAGTTTAGATGGAGAATATAATTTTTATATACAGAACAAAATTGCTAAGTTGATGGACAAATACTAATGCGGAAAGGAATTCCGCATTTCCTTTTCCCAAGTCCTTTTCCTCTCCTTCCCTTCCCTTCTTCTCTTTTCAGAAAGCGAGTAATGGCGCTATAACCATATGCCATATAGGGCTAGGACAAGAGTTAGTGCTCAGGTCCCAACCGCTAGAAGAAAATGGTAGCGAGCAAGGGCGCTATAACCTAGGCGAATACAGCATTCCCTCCGTATAGGTTACGTCCGCACACCGCTCTCTGTTGTCCTTCGACTGAGGTCGGCTGGATCGATTGAGGGATGGCAGTGGGTTGGCGGTGCCGTCCACGCTTGTACGGAGGGAGGACTGTACGCTCGAACACAAGGGGTAAATACCTGTGTTCCATCCCAGGAGATCGGACAACCAAGGAGTGTACATTAACTTTCTTAGCTCTGTCACTCCCAACGATTTATATAGCCCATTTTCAAATCCTGCATACGGAGCGGTTGGTACGGTATGTCCCCGCTCTTTGATTACCTGTGGATTAAATGTTAACCACTGCCTATACTTATTAAGTAGACATGGTAAACATTCACTTCCACAAAAATTAACTAAACGCTACACAGTAGGCCTGGCCGCTTTATTGTTTGTTTCACATCCTTGATGTGCAGCAGGCATTAATAATGACAAGAAAAATGATAGATGTATCATTTTCCAGGATTCTTTCAAGTACTGGCTGTGTATGTGTAGACTAGACTAGACTAAACGATTTCACCGATTTACACGCGTTTTCCCTTGACCAAATTTTGACCGTATCACCCTTTAGCGTAAATGATTCGAAAAATTTCTTTGATCGGCCGTTTTGAAAATCAAGTTATTTATAATGATTTTTACCGGTAATGCAGAACATTCCTACACGATTGGTAGCTATCAAGCGGTGCTATAGAATGGTATCATAGGCACTTTTCAAATGATACGCGATATATGCCTTGTTCTTTATTTTTTTCCGATGCAGATTAGAGCAAATCAGAGTTACTCTGAGTAACTCTCAGCTAAAGAGCCACTCGCATTAAAGCCGTCCTCCCCCTTGGTATGAACGGACGTTCTTAACATAAGAACAACTAGAAATACTCAGTGGGAGAGATAAGCGGAGAAAACAAAATACTATTCGGAAGCGGGGATTTCTACCTAAATTATCTTGCAACCCTTGCTAGAAGCCAGCATTTCACATGATTTATTTTTGATTCGATTTACGTGCAAAAAATAATCGGAATATTTTGCACATTTCTTGGTGCCATTAATTAACCAACTAAGATCAATTAATCAATAGAGTTAGAATATTGTTTTTGATTTCAAAAACTAGTTGAATTTGAGAAGCACATGAAACACAAAGGTTATTGAATTTCTGTTCGATTGCAATATATACTCTTAAATTTAATCTAATAAGAATAAGAAATCCTCGGACAAAATCTAATGGTAATGTTCGATTGGCTCAGATTTTGACAGTTCATTTGGCTTAAAACATTCTCTCCGCCCATCTCTCCCTCTGAGTATTTCTAAGAACAACATGAGAAAATGGCATACAAGCTTTTTGTAAACAAACCTTCTTATACCCTCCGGTCGTCACCCATATGCTACCAACGCAAACCATCAACATCAACGGGTAGAGGAAACTTTCCGCCTTCCCGATGATGTTGTCGGTTTGCGTGGGCGACCCTCGGTTGGCGAGAAAAGGGCCTACAAAGGTTTGTTTACAAAAAGCTTGTATGCCCTTTTCACATGTGGATCTTTGTGTAGAACGTCTGTTCATCCATCGGATAAAGCAATGGTTACTGTGTTTTCTTAAACAATAAATCACCACAATCCCTTTAAATTTACCCTACATTTCCACAGTGGCGTCGCCCTAACCTAAGTCTACCTGTTCAACAACTCTCAAAACGTAAACAAACAAAACAATATTGGTTCAAATGGATACAAATCAGTCAAACTAGAAGACCCTGTGTCCTTTGAAACTGATTGGAATGATAACATGACCCTAAATAACGTTTTCACAGTTGTTGAACAGGTAAAAAGTGAGGTTACGGGACGCCACTGCATTTCCATAGGTATTCTCGGCAGAAATAAAAAATCTTTCAATTATTAAATCACTAAAAGTTATTTATAGCTTCAAAGCCTTGAAATTTTTTCAAGGTGAAATCTAAGATCTTGATTTTTTTTTTCATTTTGAGTATTTTCTCAATTCCAGATTGTTTTTTTTTTACGTTGGATTACGTCTTTCGGCAACATATTGGGGGTGTAATTTCGAAAAACCAAAATTGACCGCGTTACGAAAAGTGGTTAGGTTTTGACCACATATAACTGAAGCGAAGCGAATTGATTTTAATTCTAAACAAATCAATCGATTAGACATTTAGTTACGAAGCTGCTAAATTGAATACTTTATTAATTTTCAATAGGTTACTATTGAAAATTACACAAATGACCAACTGTTGCAATAGTGATCAAAATTATCACCGATTGCCTGCAAACAACGCTTTCCCTAACACAGATTTCAATATCGGATTCCATCCGGTCTCACTGAACGGTCCTTGTTCGATAACCGTGTGTGGTGGTGTCCGGTCGGTCGTCAGTAGCGGCAGCAGTGCTTTCGGCGCGTGGCATTAAACATTGTACATAACGAAAGGCTGCCCGCAAGCAGCGAGCTGCAGCTCACATGAGCGTCCATTCATCGAAGAAGGAGGAAGAAGCCTCACCGCTACTGAATCTTCGTGAGTTGCTATGGTCCATCTATGCCAAGCGTGTCACCCTCGTTCGAACAACATACAGCTCACCAGCCTCATCTGTTTTGAACACCCTAAAAGCTCAGCATTACTCAACCATCACGACAAAACAGTCCTTTTCAGGATCATCATAAATTATTGTTATTTAAGAGCTTATTTTCATTTAACGTGCTACGTTGTGGTCAAATGCGTCAAGTATTGAAGTTGTTCATAAAAATTCTCGCAATGACCGAATACCACATGACCATCTCCACTAACCAGAAACACTTCGTAAGGTTTTCTCCAGGACTCGATTGCAAAAAAATTAGCAAGAAATTCCTCCTATCAATTTTTTTTATCTATTTATTTTACTTTATTTTTTATATCTATTGAATAAGCTAAAAATTCCGAGCGCATTGTGAACGGCGATGCGTAATTTGTTATCAGAAAACGAGGCGTTTCCGTGATAGGAAAAATGGTTTCCCCTAACACAGTCGCCGAATACTGATACCAAACACTGAGCATGCCAGACGGTACCTACCTTTATGCCTTTTGAAGCAAATTGTAAAGCCCCTCCTATTATGAGAATTATGCAAAAAAAAAATCTTGTCGAATTCTCTTAATATAAGGGGTTCAAAATTTGCATCAAAAACATAAACGTAGGTACCGTCCGGTATGCTCAGATTCTGTGATTGATGTATTTTCCCTAATACATATTTCATTTCCGCACCGCTACCATGTCCAAGAACATCGAGAAAAAATTCCTCAGCATTGTTCTAAACTGGCTTCCAAGCTTCCACCCCATCGGTCCTTTTCAGGACCACAAATGACTGATAAAAGAGTTAACTAAAGAGCAAGAGCTTGTATTCAAGATATATCGTCCAGGATTGGCTTGTACTACATGGACATCGACAGAGCACCTCAAAAACAAAACTCTCAAATTGCTTCCGAATTTCTACCTATCGAACTTTTTCACTGATAACGAGTTCAGAAATCAAATTAATATTTACTATACTTCTGCTGTGACATCAAAACTACCTTTCGTAATCTTACGTCAAATCAACGGTCATGTCTTGGATACAACCTCTTACCTTTTTTTCTCTCTAAATCTAGGATAACGAAGGTTTTTATAATTCACAAATCTCGAAAATATGTCGTAGTCTAAGACTCGAAACATATGTCGAAACCAATCGTGGTCGTTTTCTTAAATCCCAAATTTTCTGAATACTTTCGTTTCTTGCTGAATACGAACGACCGGGAAAATTTTAAGATTTACTCCGGGACTCTATTACACTCATTACTAATTTAAGGTAATTTTTCCCTCACAATACACCTTTTAAATATTGGTGGGTCGGTCTATGAAAGTTTTTCAAATCATTCGAAAAACCTAGGACTTGCCCAATACTGCTCAAACCACTCGCTTTTTACTTTTAACGTTGTCCTAATTCTTCACCTTTCGCAGTGAAAGTGGAAAACCGACTGACGCTGTTCTACCTGGCGAACGATGTCATTCAGTACAGTAAACGGAAGAACTACGAGTATGTCGACAGCTGGGGAACGTATCTCCAGAAGGCGACGACATTGGTTCGCGACGAGAAGGTAAAGCACAAAATCCTTCGAATCTTCAAGATCTGGGAACAGCGTGAAATCTACAACGATGAGTTTTTGGCCGATCTGAACGGTTTGCTGAGCGCCACAACATCGGCGAAGAAGAGTGACTCCTCAACGAGTGTGACATCCTCGTCTAGCAATGCCTCGCAACCGGTTACACTGGCTAGCGGTCCCAGCAGACTGGCGGAACAGGCCAAACACGTTACCGTTACGGTGGATGTTGACGACTTTCAGGCAGCGTCGCTGGTTTCCACCATTAAGGATTGTGTCAAGAACGAAACCGACACGGACACGACTTTCAAGAGTCTGAACAAAACACCGCTGGTCGATGTTGAGATGGTGAAGAATTCCATCAAAGGGAAAGGTAAGGATTAGGTTGTTTTGATATTTGAATGATTGTTTAGAATTAATGGCTTTGAAATCTCCCTTGCAGAACGTAAGAGAGTGGAGGACGTCGAACATGAGATTGAGGAGAATCTGGTTCATTACCAAAGCTATGTGCACAGTTTGAAAACGGAGATCAAATCGAGGAAACTGCTGTTGACCTTACTGGAACAAGCTGATACGTTCTACCACAATCAACGTGGGGAGGTGAAAGTGGTGGTGAATGTAAGTAGAATTTTGGAATAGTGTTTTATTAACATTGAAATTGGCAATGTTGTTCTTGTTTTGCCCACAGGCGTATCGGAACTTCGGCAATCGACTGAAAAGCATGAAGAAAAAGTTGGACGAATTGACAACTACATTGCCGAGTCCGATGCCTTCGCCAGACATCAATGCACCTTCTCCGGAACCGGACATGGACCTCCAGCTGCCCGAAGATCAAAACTTTTTCAATGTAAACGGAATGATGAACAGCTATATGGATGGAAATTTGCCGTTCGATATCAACGACTTCCGAAGGGATTCTCCGACGACGAATGCAGGTAGGACTGAGTTACGAGCGTTTTGCGATATACTCAACTCTTTTTGTGCGGGTAGGTAATTGTGCGGAGAATCTTTCTGGGGTAGTTCGGGGGCCCTTTTTCTTTGAGAGAGCTTCCGGGAATATTTAGAATAAATCCATTGACCTTGCTGGGATAAATTCAGATAACCTTCCGGTTCAACCTAACCCAAAATTATAGGTGCAGAAAACCTCAGAATGCTCAGGACATCTACCACTGGGAAAGGGTATCTGAATTCGAAGACAGGTTGATGACTGTTTTTTTTTCGTTAGGGTTATACGTTACAGCATCTTCAGAACTGACTTTCACTGTCACTTCAAATTTTCAATGGAATAAATCTCGGACACTAATGCGATTTCATGAATGGTATTTGTTTTGTCTGTTTTGTCCTTCGTTCTTTTGTTCCTTTTCTAGTTGCTTCCAGGCATTCAGCTTGGGACAGGAATTCACCCGGTGCCATTCCATCTTGCATAAGATATTCTTGATCTCGGCATAACATAATATACTCCTTCCGATTGAGAAAATGAAGCGAGGAATCTTCTTTTTAAACGTCCATATACACACTTCGTACACCTGTGCACTTGTCGAAGCGCAACTCCGCAAGGAATTTCTCCTGAATGACACGCTTAACATTTCCATATTTTTCCAGCACCAACGCTAGATCGCGGTCAGATCACTCGCACATATTGAACTTAATTCCTCACATAGGATTTACCTAAAAAATCTTCCGTGTTATACGTCAAATGATTCTTCTGACTTGAAACTAATGAAAAGTGCTTTCCCCTCCGAAATAAGTAAGTTGCTTTCATCTGAACGGGATTCATATCCAGTGCTTTTACGAAATGGCAAATTTCACGCCTTGTTAAGTGAGTTTCGCACTTCCATCGGCGAAGCTTAATTTGATCCTGTTCTTTTGCAAATTTTCTATTCAACGGCAGCGCTGCTTAGTGGAACCATTTTTAAAAAAAGACCAAAACGTTTTTTCTCATATTTTTTACGTTGTAGAGGTTTGGAGTCGTCAAACAAGTTACAAACAAAATCACGGCCTTCCTGTCGATAATTTTTAACTGAGTTTTTGAACGGTTGAAAAATTCAGTAAACTTTGTAAAAAAATTAGAAATCGAAAACTGTCTCAAAGTTTATACAGAATGTGTTCTTTTGCCAGTGTATTGGATGATAAAATATATAATATGTAAATATTGTTCATAAAATTAAGTGTGACGGTTATTTTCGGTTTAATGACTGAAAAAGCTGTTTGAAAACCCACTACTGACCCCGGTAGAAGAATCTTAGTGTGTACTTAAAAGGTTATCCTGCGCTTTTTAAGGAGCCACCAGAATTTTTATGAAGCTGGTACTACATAACTAAATTCCAAGGAGAGAAGTGTTAAGTGTTTAGGATACTTTCAATTTAAGCTTAGGGAGTATCATCTTGGAAGGTCAGAAACGCTTCGTTCGTCAAAAAGGTTGTTCAAAGAACTCTGAAAAATCCAGGAAATCCTTTTACTCAGGCGTGGAGGCAATCTCTGATGGAAGCTCGGATCTTTGGGAAAAGCTAGCTAATTTATGGGGGAAGTCCTCAGGTCCTAGGTTCTCAATAGGAGTTGCAAGAACAGCTTCTTGAAACCCTTTGATCCCGCCCAGACATTCTCTTTAGACACTTATCCACCAAAAAATCCTAAAGACTGTAAACGCGCAAAATTAAGTTGCTCGCAAAAAAGAAAAGAGTTGTTCGCACATTAATCGAGTAGGTCTGTAACTGTATTTACTAACACTATTCTTATCTTCATCCGTACGTTTACTGACGTTGTGTTCTGTGTGTGTATTATCGCCCGCAGTGCAACCAATACAAGTGATTAACTCCAGAAAGGAAGAATCGGAGGGAGTAAATGATTTTCTAAAAACGTTTTTCCCAGATACGCCCAGTAACCAGCATTATGGCGCTGGTCGTGGTGGAGGAGGACCCGGTGGAGGACAGCAACCTCCTCCATCACATAATTCCGCTGGTTCTGGTCCGTACGTTCCATCACAGCACAGTAGTAGTTCATCGCTGGAGGAGTACGGAAATGGTGGAAACGGTCCCGATTATACGGCCAGTCTCAACAGTTACGGTGTTCCGTCGGGTGTGGTAAGCGGTGGTCCCGATTATGGACTTCCGGGACTTGGTCCACGCCAGAACAATCGCCATAACATGGGCATGGGACGGAATTACGGTGCAGGACCACAGTACAATCAGCCAATGTTGTCGGATTACCCCGCGGGAAGATCTCAACCAGGAGGCCCTCGAAGGCCGCTGCTTCCACCCCCTCAGCCGGTTAATCTGGATCGCTCCGATGACTATAACTCGACGTGGGACATGTCGATGACTTGGGATGGACCTCATGTAAGTTTAGGTTTTTTTTTTCGATTCAATGTCGTGTTACTTAACTTTATTAATAATTATGGTTTGCAGGATTCCTCCTTCCAAAGTCTCGACACGCCAGTGTCACCTCCCCACTACGAGAGAAAAGGTAACTCGAACGTTATTGAATACATTGACGGTGTCAGTGAGGAAGGTCCACTACAAGACGTAGATCACCGACAGCTTCCTAACATGCCAATTCCTGCCTTTATAAAGGACAAAGGACGATTGATGGACGTCGATCACCGTAATCTTATTTCGCTGACTGGTTCGCCTGGGCCATTGCTCAGTAAATCGGGCTTAGATGATCTCGAGGACATTGATGACGACGACGATGACGATGTTATATTACTGACGGGCGACCAGCAGAATAATTCAAATTCGAAAGGAAAGCCAACTCCGGCACCTGTTTCTCCAGTTACAACGGACAACTCGTACTCGTGGGGCACTGGCAGCGGCGATGTCGATCTGAGGCATACCAATCTAAATCTTATTGTACCGCCACCTATGCCGGCGACAACCAGCAGTAGCAACACAAGCATAGCTACTACTACTACCACTAGCAGCACTAGCGAACCGAAAGATCTCGATATGCGGATACAGTCGATGCAGAAAACGCACTTCGGAGGAGTAGAAGGAGAATCAACGGACGAATCCAAGGCTGGCGAGGATGCACTTCAGCTATTGCAGACTCCTACCTCATTGCTGGAAATTGACGATTTTCTGGTAGGATCATCACGAGTGTTCTTGCAGAAATCGGTGAATGTAAATTTTGAATTTTCTTTTCGCTCTCTTCCACTAGCAAAACTTTGAGCGGGAAAACTTCGATCTGAGTAAACCGCCCACGGTGCTGATGAGCAATCAAACTGAGTCATCGCTATCGCCGTCGCCCTCGATGATGGATGTAACTGCATCGACCCCCAAACGGACGGCGCAGGCAAGCAATGGTAAGTGGCTATAACTCCTGATTTGGAACAGTGGCTGTCCTAAATTACCCCGAATGTTAGAAATCTCGGATGTTTTAGTGACCCTAATGGCGCTAACGCCTTTACCATAGACACACAGACATATCACTCACAATTTGTTCATCGAACACGCATTTAATGGTCAATTGAAATGTATCTTAGTTGGTAGTACCGACAACTGTGGCGTGCATAGTCTGCATTTGACGTTTACGCACTACCGCCATCTGTTGAGCGTACTACCCATCACAATGTACACAACAGAGGACGGTAGTGTTTTAGCGACGATGTTTTACAGTGATAAATATCGAGTATTGATTATCAATTCTTGATTGCTCCCAACGGCCTAGGCCTGATTTGAAATAGGGGAGAGGATGCGCATTTTTTTTTTTGACAGCAGATGTTTACATGCTGAACACCATTAGGCCGAAGGTGTCTAGGTCACATGCGTAATTTAACCGAAATTGAAGTTTCTGTCATACTGCCTAAGTTTATTTTTTCCAATTTGCATGGTGACCGGCAAATTCCGAACAGCAGGATGGCCATTCAACCGGGAAAACCGGGAGAACCGGGAATTAACCGGAAATCGAAACCAAGCGGGAAATAAGCGGGAATTTGATTGCCATTTTTAAAATATGTTTTAATCGAATTTTGTTAACTTGTTAACTATTTGTACTTTTGTCCTCTGTTTTAAAGAACTTTGCTCCACCTGTGTATACAAACTGACTTGTACTTTTCCTAGGATCGCTTATCGACTTAATTTCCTTAGTCAATGATAGAAAAAAAATTCCTTAGTTTCAGGCATTTCAGCGTCTCACAACTCTTTCTGTCCTGAGGTAGTTTACCAATCAGACTCACATATAATGGGGTCTAGGGTTGTGGAACCGGTAGTATCGGTACCGGTATAACCGTTAAAACCGGGTGATTTTCTGGTACCGAAATGCCGAAATACCGCTACTGGAATGAGAAAATACCGGTGTTTTCGGTACTGATCATTTGAAAAATGATAAAGCAAATTTAAATATTGAATAATAAGCATTATATTTTTAAGCATTTTTTGTAGTACTGTCAACAAGTAATCATTTTAAAATATTTTTTAAAACGTCGTGAAAAACCAAGCTTGAAACATTTTATAAAACATCGTGAATCAACCAGCTTTGAATACTTTGAAATTGAAGAATTGAAAAGATCAAACAATTAAGTACGGTAAAATAATGTACATCGTACAATGTGATATTACACAACCGATGGATTGACCTGGTTGCAGCAGTTTTGATGTAATATTCAACAACTTTTTTTTCTGTGTAGTGACCGAGGAATAGATGTGAAACACTACACCAGGCCGAACTGCTTAAAATAAATGGTTTATTTTCGATATCCATTTATTTTCATAAAATCCCTTTGGAATCGATATTTAACTCACTCAAAAAATTTATCACATATCTAATAAATGGAATCCATGTGAATTTCACATAGCTTTCCTGTGATCACATAGCTGCAAATCCCACCACAAAATCATATGAATATTATGAGGACGATGAAATTCATATGAAAAATCATATAAAATTAATTCGATCGCATGAATGTTATGTGAAATTCAGATGAATTCCATTAATTTTGATTATGGATGAAAATCATGTGCGTTTTCAATGGAAGCTACATGAAAACTATTTTCGGTATTACTGAATCTCTTGGTACCGAAATACCGGTACTCGCCAAAAAGTGTTCGGTACTGAAAACCCCAAATGAGTTGTTATGCCGTTGATTTCCTATTATAATGGGATTGTTTTGCCGGACAGAACAGTGCATTACCAATATAATAAGAACTACCGCAAGATGTCTTTCAGGATTGCCCAGAATCACCTTGTAATTCCTTCTGGAAATTTTTGTCCATAACAACCTTAGAAATTTTTTACATACCCCTTTAGGAATTCCTTCCGGGAAATTTATAGAACTATCCTGCCCAATGCTATCGACGCCAGGAAGGCAGCTCCCACACCTGGACCCTACCTATCGACCCATCAACTCATGAACCGGGGACCAACGGCTTTACCCGTGATCAGAGATGTTATGCCTCAGAACATCCCGACGGCGCCGACTGGGATTGAACCCAGGCCTGCTGGGGTGAGAGGCAATCACGCTTACCACTACACCACCGGCGCCGCTGATTGTTACTGTTACACCACAGACAATCAGACATAACATAATTGAATATTTCTCACTGTAAAACATCGTTACTAAAACATTACCGCCATCTGTTGAGTCAAACGCAAGGGAATTTACTAGGCGCGTAACAGGTGGTGGTACTACCAACTACGATTCTTTTAAATTGTCCGTTAAATGCTTGTTCGATGAACAACTTGCGAGTGTTATTTCTGTTTGTCTGTGGTTACACCATATTCAAGTGTTTCCTTTAAACCGGAAAAAACCAGGGTATTCCTCAATGCAATAGGCTCTTTTCACGCACCATCAATGTAGAGTGTGCTAGCCGATTTTTGAGAGGAAATGTGATTCAATCCATTTGTTTACATCATAATGACGATTTAAAAAACTCCATAGGGGAACCATCAAAAGAGTGATGAGGGCTGAAATTTTCGCCATGAAGCATAGGCCTTTTTAATGGGAACTTAACGATCGATTCAACCTCTGGTGGTGAATAGGAGAACGTCAAAAAGAGTGTTGTGAGCAGAAATTTTTGCCTTGAGACATAGGAAGCGGAACACTTTTTTACTTTTCCTGATAAATTAATTCATCTGAGATGCTGCAAAACTTAATCTACAGTTGAAAAAATTAATTCACTAACGTTTTTGAAAAGATCCTGCTGGTTTTCAGGAATATTTTTGTTAAGAAAAATGGAAAATTAGAAAAGTGCCTTAGTGCTTATGATTTTCCGGATTTCTTGTGTGTGAATAGTTAAGATGCAAATCAGTTCAGATTTGTGGAAAATCGTACAATAAGACAATTACCGATAGAAATTGGCAAGATCTTGAATGAAAAATGCTTTAATTTGCGTTGTGAAAAATTGTTATTCTGATGTAAACAAACGGTTTGGTTGACGTTTCTTCTCGAACTCGCGTGGCGCACTCTACGTTGGTGGTGCATTAAAAAGGCGTATACTGCCGTTATACTAAAGCCCTACAGTAAAAGTATGGACGACTGTCACCACAAAACTGAAAAAAAAGCTGTTCCAATCGAGCGTTTTGACGGTTCGTTTGGAACAACTTTTGACAGACGTCCATACTTTTACTGTAGGGATTTACGTTATACGCATAGGAATCCCACGGTGCTTAAGGATTGCATAGAACATGGGACAGTTATGCGTAGAACGGCAGCATTGGCGTCTAGCAGTGAAACTTTTTCAAGCTTTCGCCTCCTACATTTCGAAGTGAGAACTACTAGAAGGAGGATAGTTTCCAAATTTTCCAAGTAAAACAGACGATTTTTGGGGCAAATCGGTGCATAAAGAAAAACTAATAATTTCCCGTAGAAACTTTTGCTTGAATCGTGTAAGAAAACGTGTTTGAAAACTAATTGTTATTATTTCGGTATAATTCGGAGATGTTTTCATGGAAAATAATGCATAACAAGTTTGCACCCACTGCGAGAGGCTACCTCCTGCGCAGCTGCATTTTTCAGAAAATGGTGAATATGTGCGATTTCCACTAATACCCCGGACAGACTATGACTTATATCATGTAATATAGGCTGTCTTGCAATGAACACTCATACATCTTGTTTTCACTGGAAATCCAATGTATGATTGCTCATTGCAAGACAGCCTATACTACATGATAATAAGCCATAGTCTGTCCAGGGTATAAGATGAAAGTGGAAATTAAGTGAATTTACTTAGGAAAGGTTGTATCATGCTGGTGGTAATGGAGAATTGGCTGTATAGGACGCCAATATTCAATAAATGTTCATTTTGGCCTTTTCTAAGCAAACATATTGATAATCAACATTTTTCGACGTAAAACGCAACGGAACTTGCTTTACTCAACACGTACCTTACTATAAAATGGTGCTAGATGGTTTTCAAAGTGATAGCAAGATGACAAATCATCTTTATTTTGAGTAATTGAGCAATTTACTTCTGTTTACATCATATTTACGATGCAGCATTGATGGAGCCGCGAACTGAAATGAATATATCTTATGAAAGTTCATCTGGAAAAGTCAAAGATGCACATCAGTCTGTTCGTAAAAACTTTTTCTTCTTCAATTCGAATGTTATATTGGAAAGATTTTACACAGGCTGGATGAAAATTAAAATTTAACGCTAATTTTCACGAAATTCATATGCAGTCTGTCAACATTATCATCATCATGCGACATCTGCGTTGAGCTTTTACGGCAATCTCCCAATAGGAAGAGGAAAATATTTTTACCTTTTCTGATTAATTTATCCATCGCAGGTGCTTGAAACCATCATCCACATGGAATATTTTGTTTTCTGTATCAATTTTGCAGTGATCCGGCTGGTGCTTCCACATATTTTTTGTTAAGAAAAGTGAAGATTCAACTGCCCCAGCGGTTATGATATTCCGGATTTTAAATGTGTGGTTATTTGAGCTGTACATATGTTCAAATATGTAAAAAATAATAAAATAAGACCCCTTCCGATGGAAATATGCACGATATGCATACAAATATGCATTAATTTGAGATGTAAAAAATATAATTTTGATGTAAACAAACGGTTTGATTGACGTTTCCTCTCATAATCACCTACACTCTAAAAAATCCTCACGTCCGATTTACGTGAAATATCACGTAACTGATCTATATTTAAAAAATTTCAAATGTTACGTGAAGTTAGTAAGCATTACACGTCATTTCCACTAAAAATGTTGGTGAAATCGACCGTATATTCACGTAAATCAGTTTACTGTAGTTGAAGATGCTAATTTCAAATAACAGACTGTAGTGGTAATTTTTATACGATAGATCTATCGTATAAAAATTACCACTACAGTCTGTTATTTGAAATTAGCATCTTCAACTATGTAAATCGTTGACTTCACGTAGAAGTAATACTAAAACATATAGTCAAAGTACATAACTCTGGATGGGAGCATACCATCAATTACTGTCAATGGCCGAAAGGTACAGTAGCAGCACCTACCCCACCCGTGTCCCCTCGAGATCGTCAAGTCGACGATGACAGGAGCACATATCGTGGTAGGGGTAAACAATAGTTGCAATTTCCAAACCTACGACTGGATGCCTTCCTTCAAATAACAACTGAAGTGCGGTAAAAATCGGTAGAACTGTTTCAAACACACAGTTGGTACTTGAGCGGGTCGGTTTTCATCTCTTTTTGCCAGTGGTGGCGGTGGGGGGGGGGGGGACACCCCTCACCATCCCTCTCCAAAGGGGGAGTTTGGTAAAGAGAGATGAAAAAACCGATTTGTACCTTCCTTAAAAGTTGTTCTAGCTCGCTATCCTAATATCTATATGCAATCTTCACACTGCCGTACTCTAACGGAACTATCAACTCTATGCTTTCATCTACTCCATCTATCGTATAAAAATTACCACTACAGTCTGTTATTTGAAATTAGCATCTTCAACTATGTAAATCGTTGACTTCACGTAGAAGTAATACTAAAACATATAGTCAAAGTACAGTTTACTGTATTTGTGTTTGTGTGTTTGGGGATTCGATATTTCCGTGAAACGAGATTTACGTGATTTTCAGGTACGCAAAAAAGTCAATATGGCGTCACCAAACGTGGTGGAAGAACACCTCAAAAATTCAAAATTTCGCAGCAGCTTGCTACAAATATTGGACGGTAATTTAATTCATTTACATTAATTTATTTATAATTATAAGTAGCCTTTTTCTAGTTTTATAATTTCAGACGGTTATTAATATTTTGACAGATATAAAAAATCTCATTAACATTTCTAACTATACTATTTATTTTTAGTAGTCAATAATTTGCAATTTTATGAGTAGAAATAAGCCAGAAAAGGGTTATTTTTTATCTATCTTTCTTTTTCTGTACATGAGTAAAAAGTACCCATTTTATTGATTTGGTTTTTGCTTCATGGGGGGGGGGGGGGGGGGGTTGGCGAGGTAGCCTGTGATCAAATCAATTGAAATCCTTAAACAATGAAATCAAAACAATAATTACACTTCATTGCACGTAAGCACATATCATAATCGTTGACCAATCGAGGCATAGTGTCCTTCTGGTAAAATCTATAAGCAAACATCAGACTGTGCTTGAAACATGGCGGCCATCGTACTATTGCTAGAAGAAAGAATTTTTTGACGGTGCCGTCAACGCCAATATTCAGTTCAGTTCACTGGTGGGATCGGTCCGCGAGGGATGCTGCTCTTCGGGCAGGTTCGGCCCTTCCGCATGTGAACTTCATTTACTTTTTCGAAGATCTTCACTAACCTGAAACGGTACATGTTTTTAGAACGGCTTAATGTTCTTCTTAGTTGCCCTTTTTATCCTTACCTCGTAACAGTCGGTACCAGATCGTGACCAGGAATCCTGCTTTCCCTGAAAGTAAAAAAAGTAATAATTTAACTCCCAGCCGCAAAATTATTTTCAAATTAACTTGTTTACCTCAATCGACACCTGCTGGAACGAATCTGTTAATTCGAATCAAATTTTTACCGATTTGCAGGTCGACGCACGCAAAATTCACGAATGTGTGAACATCAACATAGCTGTTTTGACATTAATTAAATGCATATTTTTAACCATTTTAATTGCAGGGGATATTTTTAAAAATGGGGAAAAAGTACCCGCTTTTGGATTTTTTAAAATACCCATTTTTTGACAGTTCGGAATAATTTAAAAAAATGAGTACAAGATACTCATTTAATGGGTACTTTCAGGTTAGCGTGTAGAAACATCCTATCGGGTTTGTACACTCAAAAAATTTATCACATATCTAATGGATGAAATCCATGTGATTTTCACATAGCGTTCCTGTGATCACATAGCAGCAAATCCCACCACAATATCACATGAATCACATAAGGTCCATGAAATTCATATGAAAAATCATTTAAAATTAATGTGATCGCATAAATGTTATGTGAAATTTAGATGAATTCCATTAATTTTGATTATGGATGAAAATCATGTGCGTTTCCGATGGAAACTATTTTCGGTGTAGTGATCCGGCTGGTGCTTCCTTATATTTTTGATGAGAAAAATTAAAATTTATAAAATTTTCCCAGCGGATATGATCTTCCGGATTTTTAATGTGTGGTTATTTCAGCTGAAAATCAGTTCAGATCTGTAGATAATCGAAAAATAAGACCACTCCCGATGGAAATTTGCAAGTTGTGCAATAAATGTACATTGTTTCGAGTTTTGAACATCGCCATTATGATGTAAATGGTGCATGAAAAGAGCCTATGGCCACCCTGGAATAGCTATTTCTCATTTTTTTTCGGAATAAAACCGAATGCGATTGAGCTGATGCCTAAGTTAAATAAGTCATTACAAAAACAGCTAAATTTGTCTAAGTTGGGAATTAACATAGAACTTTTTTCACGATTTTTTATAGTTCTCATGAATTTTCTATAAAATCATTTCCTTTCACAGAGTTTGTTTCAGAATTTGTCTAAAATAAATTTGATAATCTCTTGCGATTTCTGGGAAATTTTTGGGCCGCGGTCGAAAGGCAGAAAAAACATAAAGCAGAATTTTTTGCCCCTTCAATATTTTGTAGGCGACATAAATTTAAAATAAAACTTAACTTCACAGAATGATTTTGTAACGAATTTATTTCAAATGAAAAATTCATCAAAAATTCGACAAAATTTGATCGCAATTTTAGTAAATTTTTAATTAATTTTCTTCCTAACCGCGAGAATTAACTCATTTTCAGGAATTTCACAAGTTTCAGAACTTTAAAAACTGCTGGATATTGAACAAGCTTCATGCACTTTTGCAATGTGTGGAATTTTCACGAAATTGCCAGAGCTCTCAAAACTCTAGAAACTTCACAACGGTCACAACTTTAACATTCATCCAAAGCTCAGTCTCATTTCTCCGGAAACTGTGATTACCCACTAGGAATTTGTGGCACTCTGTGTAATCCAGATTCTCCGAGAGCTTTCCAGACTTCAGAAACTTCCGAAATTCCAGGACCTGACGGAAACCCTGGAGTACACAAATCCCCGAAAACCTATCTTTTGGAGTATGGAGACAGTGTCGTCCACAAATACCTTGTAGTAGGCTTAAGACAATAAGAATTTCTTTTATTGCACCGCGCAGACCCTCAATTGATTTCACCATTCTTCCTCGTCTTTCAGACGCCGCCGATCAATCCGGCCCGGAGCGGCCAACCGACAACACCGAAAGCATCGACATGGACCTATCCGACGAAGAGTACGTCCCAGAGCATCCTACGGAATCGACGTCAGGTAAGAGCAGCGCTTCTGCCGATAAGTCTACTTCTTCCCCTCTGTCAACGACTCTATCTTCGGTGCTTCCGGTGGCGGGCAATAACAAAATAGTCTCTTCTGCTAAACAACCAACCGATATTGGTACTGGTGGTTCAAAAGATACGACGGAAAATTCTCTTTCAGCGCCCCACGAAGATCCCTTGGAAGACTCGACGGAACCGTACGAACCGTTTGAAGGGGAAGACGACGAAGACATGTTGATTCCGATGGCTCCTCCAGTGCCGCCAATTCAGGAGGAGAATGTAAACCCACCACCATTGGTGATTCAGCACCTGCAGCAACAGCAACAACAACAGCATCGACCACCGTTACTGCCTGATCCGGAGTATCCTCCGTCGTTTCCGTTTCAAGCGCAACAACAACAACAGCACCAGCAACAACAGAGAAAGCAGTGGGATATTCCTCCGCCACAATTTAACAACTTTGGGACAGGTTTGCCCAGCTTAGTCGATTTAGATCCCTTCGGAGAATTTCCCAATTTAGCGGCGGGGTTGAACAATCTTAGTCAACCGCAACAGTCGGGAATGCCACCTCATATGTGGAACAATCAACAGCAACAGCAACAGCAGCAGCAACAGCAACAGCAACAACAGGGTATGGGACCGATGGGTGGTCCGCTTGGAAATCAGTTCCACCCACCTAATAGGCCACCGTTCGGGGGATCACCGTTCAACAATAACAAAATGAACAACTTTAGGAACAACAACAACTGGGGTGGCCGAGGGGGTGGTGGAGGTGGACCTAGGCATGGATCACCCTACTTCCGTGGTGGTGGAGGAGGAGGTGGTGGCCGAGGTAATTTCCGCGGTGGAATCAACAAGTTTCACGGCGGTGGTCATCATAACAACAACAACAACAACAACAATAGGGGTGGAAATTGGTAAATTTCTTTTATTTTTCCTTTCGTTTTTATTGTGTGCGTGCCGTAGCGAATGTGTGTATGGTTAAGTTCTGTGCAGATGAATTTGAAGGAAATAGTGATGACAATATATTACTGATTGCATCTGAAGCTGCACTGCCCCAAAAATGCAAAAAAAAATAGTGTTATTTTAGTGCAATTTTCCGTCAAATCGATTTGGTTTCTTCGGAGCACTTATTGCTTGCATCATAAGGAATAAGTGCACCGAAGACAGCAAGACGATCGGACGGAAACTCGCACTTAATTCGCACTTTTTAATAAGTGAAAACATGCTTATTAGTCCAGTTAGAAGACTAGTTAATCTGCCGGGGAATACAAGGGAAAATTAAACTAGCGCTTCGCTTGTGTAAATGTTCAACTACCGGAAAGACAAATTAGCAGACATACAAGCCTCTTCTTTTGAGGTTGGTATCTTTGCTTTGAAATTCGGTCGCAGGTTTTACCTTTGAGCAGTTAAATTGCGAGATGGTTTATGGTTTGCACCGTCGATGCAACCGACTCAAAACGTGGATTTGCTAAGTAAAAACTCGGGAAAAACTTCTCTATAATGAGGAAAATCGAGAGGGGTTTCAATCAGTCTACTAGTGTACTCCTAGACTGAGTAAAATTGTCGTCAATTTTCCGCATATTCAAGCACATTTTTTTTTGGGAAAAATGAGACAAATTTTACTCACTTTGTGAACAAATTCACTTTTTGCTAAATTGAATTGAATTGAACTCAATTTTGAGTCGGTCTTATCGTTCGTGTGTAAGTGTTTTAGGGCGATTCAAATATGACATGCATAAGTTTTTCGAATTTTCATCCCCCTCCCCCCATCCTTGCGTCACATACTGTCACAAATTCTAGGACCCCGTTCCCCTCCTCAAGTGTGGACATCATATTTGAATCGCCCCGTATGATATGTTTTTTTCGGTAACTGGTCTTGCAGTGAAACTTTTGCGCCACCTGCATTTCGAAGTGAGAACTATTACAATGATGATGGTTGCAAAATTCTCCAAGAAAAACAGGCGATTTTTGGGCTCCATAAAGCAAAACTTATGTTTTCGTGGAAAACTGTTGTTTGAATTGCGTGTGAAAACGTTTTTGGTAACTAACTGTTAATCTTTCAGTAAGCTTCTGGTGATGTTTCCACAGTATATTGGACATAACATTTTGCACTAACAGCTGCATTTTTGGGACATTTTTTTTATTTCCACTGAGATAGAAATGGACACGTCGTATCATAGCAGATCGATGTTTCGAACACTCATTATATAAAGCTAACGTAAATATCAACGATCAACGGTCAAAGTGTCAGATATATTGTCGCCATATATCGCTCATAGGTAAAAGCTCCTGACAATTTCGAAAACAAAGATGCTAACATCACAAAGTGAGGTTCAAGTATTTGTTCTACCTTTGCTAAAGCGCGACGCTATAACACTTGTCCTTGGATTCTGGCAGAGTTGCCAGTCTTGTGGATATGCCGCCTTCGGTATAAGCTAAAAAAAAGGAGTGAATATTTTCTCATCTTTCTTAGGTTTAGAAACTTTTTCTGGATAATGATTCTGTTCTAAATCCAGGATTTTAGTATTTTTTCAAGGCTGAGATCCCGAAAACTATTCCAAGTTTGAGATTTTTACAACTTTTCATTCTTCTCTAGGCTTTATTACGTCCCCACTGGGACCTTACGCCGACTCTCAACATAGTGTTCTTTGAGCACTTCCACCGCTGGTAATCGAGAGCTTTCATAGCCTGTATAATTTTTGCATTAATATTATTGTGTGGCAAGTACAATCATGCCCAGGGAAGTCGAGAAAATTGTCGACCAGAAAAATTCCTTGACTGGATCGGGAATTGAAACCAGCTGCCTCCAGCATTGTCTTCCTTTTTTTGTAACTTACGAAATTTTGCTTTTCAGGAGTATCGACGTCTGAGATCTAAAACAAATGAAATTAGGCATCTTGGTTTTTTTTTCAATATTCGGAATCCTGGAATATTTCGTCGTTTGGAATGTCTTTCCATTTTTATCTGGAAATATTCCATAGAGTTGATTGGAAATGCTATCTAACATGAAGCTTTAGTGTTATAATGTATTAGCTAGAGAATGGTCTTAGAAGAGGGTAGGTAGATAGTTCCGTTAGAGTACGGTAGTATGTAAATTGAATAGAAGTTGGAAATGAGCGAAAGGCCATTAATGCGACAGTGCAAGTCAAACGCACACGTTTTGCCTAACCCGTACGACGTACGCGGAGATTTGAAGTATGTAGTATGTATGAAGAACTATCTACCTACCGTCTTCTAAGACCATTCTCTAGCTAATACATTATCACACTAAAGCTTCATGTTAGATAGCATTTCCAACCAACTCTATGGAGCCTCCCTTAGCCTAGTCTGAGCGACTATAAAGCAAAACCATTCTGGAGGGGGTGGATTCGATTGCGGTTGATGCAATAGGCCTCTAAAACCGGCCATCTTGAAAAAAGGCATGATGATGCATATTTCAAAATTTTGCTAAGTTTTAAAACACTTAGGTATATTTTTCGAATGAAGTATTTTTAATTAATTTGAGTGTATGAACCACTTTCATCAAATATTTTTATTTTTTTTAAATACTTGATATAATACGTGTATTGAGTAGCCCTTGAGTTTTTATCACCCGTAGAATCGTCGAAAAAAAAAACTTTAATTAAGAAATAGAAGCATATCTCACCGTGCAAAATGTTGAAATCCGCATTATTAAGCCGTTTTTCAAAATGGCCACAAAAGGCAATCAATTATTTTTTTAATTTTTTTTTTATTTCCCTGGCTTATAAAAGTTAATTGTGAAATTGCTAAAGCTGATAACTGGCGTAAAGTCCCAGTTTGGGTCGTAGCTAATAGCAAACAAGAAGAAAACCTTCGGCAGTAGAATGATTGGGCAAGTATGAGAGTGGTGTTTTCTTATGTTCTTTCTTTTTTATCCGTAGTATTCCACCCAAATAGAGCGAAAAGAAAAATCTAATTTCACAGTCAACAAAGTCAGTGTAGGTTAGAAATAGAGCAAAAACCTCGAAAACAAAAAAAAAGAAGCATGAAACAATTGAGTCCCGAGGGTACGGTTGAAATCTTCATCGTAGTTGTAAATATGTATGTGTGCATGTGGTGAGCTCAACAGCAGGTTTACAGTAAGCATGTTTAGGGTATAGTCAAACTATCAGAAAACATAGGAGTTTAAGGGACCCGCAGAGGAAATTAGTGGTGTAACATTGCAACTAACGTTTTTCTCTCACTATTATTGACTACCATTCACTAGGTTAGACTCGTTCATACAAAACGGTGGAGATATACTTGAGCTCATTAACCGGTTCGCTCCCCGCTAGGGCTGTCGAAGGAAGTTTAAGAAACCTGCCCTATACTTAACTTTTTAATTACCTACTGTATAAACCGAAGCCGAACGGACAGGACCCGTTTGAAACGCAAACCAACAAAAGTTTTTTCTTTTTTAAATGTTGAATTCAATAGCCATTTGTTGACAAATAACTTTTAGCACTTAATATTGGACAACATATGATCTGTAAGATGCATTCAAAGCCAGAGTTTACTAGAAGATTGTCGTAAAGGGCGACCGGAAGTAAGAAGTTTAACTGTAAATATAAGTATTTATACTAGTGTTCTGTACTACACAGAAAGTGTGCATGTGTTTCAAACTAGCAACATGACTATCTAGCAATAGAGCGCACCTTTGAGGCATAGTTGGTTTTGAACGTCCTGAGTAAATTGAGTTGATGCATTATATAATTGAAAAAATGGAATAAAGATAGATACAATTTGAAATAATAAAACAAGACAACTGTTAGCAGTTTATCATAAATAGAATAGAAGCAAAGTCCATCATTAGATTAAGATAGCAACATCGTCCAGATTTCAGCACTGTGCTTTGGAAATATTTTACTCCTACGTTTGTTTTCCTGATTTTGCACACAGCAGTTGTACTGAATGTTTCATAACTTTTCAAATCTATATTTAGCAGATAGTATGGTACTCTGATCATAAAATGTTTAATAATGATAATAATAAATTAATTGTGTTTCGATTCAGTGTTTGTATTGTGACAATATCTGTTCAAGCGTATCCTTTATATACTTACTGAACTTAAATATCCTAAGCGCTCCTCAGTGGTAGCGATGCCGCATTGCTAGATTGTTATACACGAACAATGTTGGGACCCCCTCGTTTATTTTGATACCATAAGGTTTTTTTGTAACAAGTTATTAGCTCAAAAATTAGTTCAAAAAATTAACTTAGATAGAATTAGGTCGTAATAGCTTTTGTAAACAATAACTTTTTACAATGATTTCTAGAAAGTCAAGGCTGACCAACGCAAATCAACATCGTCATCGGGTAGAAGAAGACTTCCCCTACCCGATGATTATGTTAGTTTGCGTGGGCGTGCCTTGAATTCCTAGAAATCATCGATAGAAGTCATCGTTTAGAAAAGCTGCTACGCCCTAATTCCAGCTCTATCTAGTTTCTTGAGCTAACAAAGTTCGTTTATTTGGAACTCTCAATCGCGTTAGCTTTATGGAGCCGATAATTCAGTGTTCATTGTTTTATACTAAATTCTATTGAAGGTTTACCTCGATATGAGGTAACTTGTAGCGCGCAAAATGCGGCTAACGGTTTTCCGTCTTCTGGATCGTTCCCTGGCTCGATAAACGGACGGCTTAAGCGCCACCTCCAAGGAGGACCGTCCGTCGAGTCTTGTTTGCCCGGCTAGAAACCCGACCTCAGGGCGGGTTTGTTCAATCAGAACCAAAAATTTAATTTCAGAACGGAACAGAAGACGCAAACAACACGATGGATCGAGATTCTCTACACAAAGAGGTCGCCACAATCGCAACGAGAGAATAGTTGATGCTACCGGTCGTTCTACCTACTCACGAAAACAACACTCACCGGTATCATCACCGGAGGAACTCACTTATTCAAAGATCCCCGCCGATCGAGACACGTGAGTGGAGAGACTGATTTCCCAGGCAGTCTAACCTGGCGAACAAGAACATTAACACAAAAAGTAGAACGACGCGAAATGTGAGAATTCTCGAAACCAAAAAATAAGTTACATGGGAAACTTTAACATTTAACGGAAAAACATTTATTGGGGTAAACTACTATAAAACATTTATGTAAGTTTATTTAATTGTATAACCTAGGTTTTCATTACTCGTGTTTCTTCCTCTCTTGTTCCCTACTGTGTGCGAATTTTGATCTAGTGATCGCTAGCTAGTTTTTCTCATCGAGCTCTTCTTCGTGGTGTGTGTGTTAATTGTTGGGTTTACTCACGGTACCGAAATAGCTGCCTGATGAATTGGTCCGCAAAGCAGATACCGGCTGGTTTGCGGCGGTATTGTGGCTATCACCCGAAATGCGGCGATTGGCGATGATGTTGCGGAAATTCCCAGTCGATGGATGGTCTCGAAGCTGGTACTGAAATCGCGCCGAAATATGAATTGGCGCTGTAGACGACGTTGGGACGTCGATGTTTTACACGTGGCGGAAATGGCAAAATGGCCGCTCTGCCGAAACGGTTTGTTTCCTTCCGGCTTTCCCCTCAAGCCGGGACTTTTGACGCAGAATCGTGAGGTCGAGAGTCGCGCTTTATCTCGAGATGCGGTGTGCCGAGCTTCGGCCGTATATCGCTAGAAGCGAATCCTACATAAAAAGCCGTCGAACGGCTGTTCGACGCGTTAACAATAAAATTTCCATACAAATCAATTATCCACGAATTACCTTTTCTCTACGTATGCACACACAAAAATTGACCGCACGTCAACTTTGACCTAACTGCTGAACTTAAGGCTACACGAAGGAAACAAAAAGTAACATTAAATTCGATCACTAGACTTCTCACATTTTTTATAGGTACCAATTAAAACACACCGCGACACAAGAAAACTATTTCACGCACTCTCGCCTCTTCCACGGTCCAGGTCAAAATGGACGAGTGGACGTTCCGAAAACCCTCAGATCAAATCGTGATCATAGTCTTCGTGGCCGGAAGTACGTCAATTACCGAAGTAATTAACGACCTTTTCAAACGACAAATCTCATCAACTACGATCTCGAGCCGATTGAACACTCTATCTCTTTCTCGCTCGTACTGTTTGATTAAACTGTCTCGCTTCATTCTATTTCTGGTTTGATTGATTTTTTTACGAGAGAGAATGTTCGGATTCGAACCTCGGACTTTACGACGAGTCTCGCAAACCAGTGAACGTTTCCAGTGGCGGATCAAATGAATTTTGGAAGGCAGCTTGTATGCAAGCGTTTCGTTTTTATGCGGATTTACAATTCGTTTCATTTGTAATGGTGATTTCAATTTAATTTAAGTGAACATGTAGTTATTATGTAATGAATATAAATAATTAATAAATAACGTGAACGATAATTATTAATGGAATTTAAAAATAGATGGAAAAACAGAATATAAATTCAAATAAATAAGTGGCAATCCTTAAATTAGTTAAATTATATTTACATAAAAGTGACCATGCTACAAACTGTCACTTTTGACTTCCATCACCGATTTCTCGCAAACGATCATTCAAACAAGCAAAGTAATAACACCATCGGACAGATGAGATAATCCCCCATCTATTGGTAATATTCATTTGTATGATATAATTGTTATTAGGGAGATATTGACGATAGAAGTCAAAAGTGATAGTTACGTTATACCGAGTTATACCTGTATTTCTACGTCTAGTAGGAGTTGGGCCGAATGCTCGCGGCTTTCCCGAGGTTAGAGGGGTCGTTGTCTCATCAGAGCGATGTCGCCAGTATGAACGGTAGTACGGTTCTAGATTCGTCTGGAGTTCGACCGGCTATGGTAAACAACCCCCAACTATTTCCGTGTTAAAAAATCTGGCAATGCAGCATCGCTGCTCAGTGGTTCCAAAGTGAAATATTCTCATCATGAGCAATTTTTTTGCTTTCTTTCTACTTAACCTTCTTTGCTCTCCTTGTTAATGCTCTGCCGCCATGAGCCCCTGGGTCTGCCTCTTCGGCGATTTCCTGCCGGATTTCAAGCCAGCCAGCTCACACTGACACTGGAGGTTTATTGTTTATTGTTTATTGAAAAATTCAACTGACAATTATTGTCTAAATGAATAAAACTTAAATTAAACAGTTGCGGTCAACGGTACGAAAAAGGCTAAGTAGCCGATGACGAAACACGTCAGCTGATACATTGAAGTCAAACATATAAAGAAGTTGTTGAATTGTCGGCTGATTGCTCGAATTGGCTCGTGTTGTGTATAATTCCGGCTCGGTGGTTCCAAAAACAGAAAGTCGCGTTGACGAAGAGACCTCTCAGGGGCATACATATTTAGTTGTGACTGCAGTGTTGGACAGTCAATGTCACTCGTAAGCAGCTTTCCAGCGACCGTCCGTCTCACATCTAATGGCTCGATTCCCAGGAGACGGCAACGCTCCTCGTACGGTGGGGCCAGTTGAGGAAACGAAGAGCATATCTCACAAACTTGCGTTGAACGGATTCAATTCTAGTGATCCAGCTAGCATGGAAAGGGCACCAAACAACTGAACTTGACTCCAATAAGGATCGCACAAGTGAGCAGTAAAGTGACCTGAGGCATAGCGGAAATTGCAGACGAAATTTTGAAAATAAAGCCCAATTGTCGATTAGCTCTGGAGATGATGTCATTATAGTGGATTCTGAAAGTGAGTTTGCAGTCCAAGGTAACGTCGAGATCCTTTATGTGCTCTACACGAGCAAGACAGCGTCCGTAGAGAACATAGTCAAACATGATTGGTCCGAGTTTTCGGTGATAGGAAATAATGTTACATTTTTCTATGCTTAGACTCAACAAATTTCTTGAGCACCAGTCAGCAAAAATACCTAACATACTCTGGAGATCCCAGCAGTACGCAGCATCGACTTGCCATCCTGAATCCATGTATCGCAGACAGTTAGAAGTGAACTGCACCAGGTTCGTGGACACGGAGCGTTTCGGGTAGAAACCGTGTTGTTCTGTATCGATATAATTTTTGCAGCGTGCGAACAGAGCACCATTTATGATAATCTCGAACAGTTTTGTGCAGGTACACAGGGAGGTGATTCCACGATAATTTATGACATTCCGTTTATCTCCTTTTTTGTACACTGGGAACAGATAAGAAAGTTTCCAGCGGCAGGGGAACTCACATTGCTGTGCCGAGAGATTGAATAGCCTCGCAAGTGGAAGGCAGAGATTGGCTACACAACGTTTTAGAACTGATGACGGAATGCCGTCAGGTCCGCGGCGAATGAGAGCTTTAGTTTGCGTGTTGCGGCTATCACCATGTCTTCTGAAATGCGCGGTGAATAAAACGCAAACATGTATTAACATTCAATAACTCCTGTGCTCACTGACGAAACTGGATCAACCTTACAGGACTTGAAGGGAATTGGTTTCATCTTGTGTAGCATACCTAAGCAAACTTATTACAGCTTTCGAACGAATCTAATACGTCATACACTTTTTTTGGCATGTCCGATTTGTTCGAAAACATGAATAAGGGTGAGTGGAAGTAGGTATTTACTCTAAATACTCTAAAATATCTATTTTATAAAAAAAATATCGGACTACAATACAATAAACTACACTAAATTCCGAAGTCCACCGAAACCGTGTAAAAAAACGCCGACTACAGTGTATAACGATAAATCGCGTAAATCCGCGTAAAAAACCGCGTAAATTCCGAATTCCGCGTAACAAGAACCGTGAAAAAAAAACCGCGTAAAAAGCGACTCCAGTATGACACATAAACCTACATAGTTGGCATTGGCGTAGCTAATGGGGGTGCCAGGGGGGCCAGGCCCCCTTCAGAATTCGGCTAGGCCCCCTTCAGATAAATTGTCTAGCTACGCCAATGATAGTTGGAGATGCTTAACGTCAAATATCAGATTTAATGTGGACATTTTATATTATAGATAAGGAGATAAAAGTATAGACGCAGACAAACAACGAAC